TGGAGGTCAACGTGATATGTTTTTGGAGGTATTGAAATATGGATCATATATCGTTGATGCACTTACTAATTATAAACAACCCGTATTTGTTTATATTATACCTAACGGGGAACTTCGTGGAGGAGCCTGGGTAGTAATAGATCCATCAATTAATGAAAATATGATGGAAATGTATGCTGATAAAAAATCTAGGGCAGGTGTTCTCGAACCTGAAGGAGTTGTTGAAATCAAATATCGTAAACCTCAAATACTTGAAACAATGGAACGCCTAGATGAAACATATCGTAGTCTTAAGAAATCCTTGGATGATTCAACAATTTCCGAAAATCAGAAATTAAGTTACACCTGGAAGCGCGTGAACAAGAGTTGCTTCCAGTATATTCTCAAATTGCACTCCAATTTGCGGAATTACATGATACACCAGGCAGAATGAAAGCTAAAAACACAATTCGTAAGGTATTAGAATGGAAACAAGCAAGGAGATATTTTTATTGGCGTGTAAGACTACGTTTGCATGAAGAATATATTTTTAGAAAAATTCATGAAGCCAATTCAAATCTTACGAGGAGTCAAATGAAATCATATTTAGTTGAATGGTTCCGTAATGACATGAAAATTGAATATGATTGGGAAGAATCTGATATTGAAGTTGTGAAGTGGTTTGATAAAATTCTTAGTGAAGATATGAATGATAAAAATAATGATAATTCGGAATTTACCGAGACTTTCCCTTCAATTAAGTCAAGAATTGAAAAGATTCGAGATGAAGCAATTACTAAGAATGTTATACATTTGGGAAAGAGAAATCAGAAGGCGGTATTTGAAGGGATATCAGAACTATTCAAAGATTTGAGTATTGAAGAAAAGAATGATTTACTAAAAAAATTATCTGAAACCGAATGATAAAGAAAAATATTTAATTTTAAAAATCTTAAATAATTATTTATTAATCATAATCATTATAAATTGTAAATGTAATATTTCTCAAAATTTTACTTGTATTTAGCTAATCAATATAGAAATTTTCAACTATTCTAACAATAATAAAAATTATCAAAATTTTGGCACGAATATTATTAATAACTTACAGAAATGAATTATTTAGTTTAAGAAATTTACTAGAATATCAATGTAATTTTAAAATTAATTTTGTAAGATTGGGCAATATCAATAACAAATTTAATAATAAATTAATAATTAATTTGACAATTCAATGAAGTGAAGAATAAAATAGGAGTACTTTAATAAGAATGAAGTAAAAATATATCTAATAAATATATTTATTAGAGGCAACTTACAATTTAAACATGTGGCATATATTATATCTTTATTTACAATTAATTTATTAAACAATAAATTATATATTAATTAATTGTGTATTTTTTTTTTCATTTAAATTAAATCTAATAATCTAATGGATATTTTCGGATTTAGCTTTTGCTATATCAGGATATCGACCAAAGATCTAAGAAGATATTCTACTAGAATATGCGACCTAAGAATGTCACTGATGGTATGGTAAAATGATTTTATTTTATATTTTATTATTAATTTTCATATTTATAGAAGAACAAGTATCTCTATGTGCTTAATAAAATCTATATTAAAATAATATATGTACGTGTTTTTAAATTTAGCATTTGATTCTGGTCAATATTTATTTATTAATTAATTTATGACACAACAATAGTATTTTAAAAGTATTGGAACGGATAATTTCAATAAATCGTGCGATAATTAATATTATTTCATATTATTTTAAAATTTATTTATTTATTTTTTTTTTATTTTAGCCGATGAAGAATGTGGAGTTGCTGGTCCTTCGAATTCAGACTCACGATTTCAAGATTAAAGAAAAATTTATTTTAATTATTTTTCACAATAATCACATGAATAATTAAAAGTTATGGATTATATTCTTTTGCTTGCTTATTTTGATTTTTAAAGATAACATTTTTTCTAAAAATCGGACAATGTTAAATTTGTGAAATCAAAAATTATTTCAAAAGTAGCTATTAGATTTACATATATTATCATCCAAACTATTTCAGATAAAGTTCGCTCCCATTTGTTTCTTAACTTTCTGTGATACAATTGCTAGATTTTGTACGCGCATCATTTTAAATCATGAGTGAATACACATGATTTACGGAGATGGATAAAAAAAATTGTTCGCACATTAAATTTTAAATCATGTGCGGAATATATACATGGTTTAATAGTGACTGCGTCACGAATCCCACACACTAACATTGCGTGACATATTTTAAATTTTTAAAGCATGTGCGCATTCCGCACATGATTTGAAATGTGAATTTCAAACACTGGAAATGTGTTTTCTTTTATTTTACCTTTAAGTAAAATTTAAATATTAAATTTGGTCGGTGTGACAATGCTGATTCACAAAAATAATTAAAAATCGCGCAATAATTTTCCGTTAATTCTGTTTAAATAAATATTTTAATATTTTTACATTAAAATCTTATTCTTTGTTATTATTACTCAAATAATACAATATTGTTAACATAATTTGCTCGTCAAATATTATTTTCTTGGTTATTAGTAAATAATTAAAACTCAACCCACGGTAATTTATATTATATTCTTATTTTC